CTGAGCGCAAGAGAGCTGATATAAGACAGGTAAATTGCTGAACCTGGTGTTAGGGCTGGAAAATGCCAGTGCGCCAGTTTTTACATGACTAAATTGTAGACTAACGTGTGTTTGACACTGAAAATAAAGGTCATAATCTCATATTTACGGTTTAATATCTAATGCTCTCATCTAGAGGGGTTAGTGATTAGGGCCTAGGGGAAGGGTTTAGAGCTTCACTCCCTGAGAGTTGTTTATATCAAGGGCCATTTAGAGATCAATGATTAAATGAGGAGACTAATACATGAATCAACTTCCAGACACCCTCATAAATTGAGTGGATAAAACAAGAAAATTAGCACAATATTCATATTGACATTGCTATTAACACACACAAACACACTTATATGCACGCAGGCACACACACACACACACACACACTCACGCCAACCCATGACTCTAATGCTTCCCCCTTTGCCACTCACACACACGTGAGGAGACATCGATGTGTGTGGTGGTTCTAGTTAGAGAGAGAGAGAAAGAGGGAGAGAGAGGTTGTGTGTAGATGTCAGCCCGTCTCTAGAGCAGTGTTCTAGGTTTAGAAGTGCTTCTGTTCGACCTTGAATAAAAAGGAATGTCGATTTTTTTTGCAAATCCCATCTGGGAGTATGTGGCTGATTTCAACTCCAGTATTCCCTGCTCTACCCCTCTCTCTCTCTCTCTCTCTCTCTCTTTCTCTTGCTCTCTTCCTCTCTCTCTTTCACATACACACACACTCTCTATGGAGTCACAGTGTAGCGCTATAGATCTCATCAAGTCCTAGTGTGTGTGTGTGTGTGGGGGGGGGGTCAGGTTCCACAGGGTCTGAATTCTTGAGTAAAGAGTTTCAATGCTTGACCACCTTCTCTCTTTTTCTCTCCTCTCTCTCTCTAATCCACTCTGTCTCTCTCTCTCGCTCTCTCTCTCTCTCGCTCTCTGTCGCTCTCTCTCTCTCTCTCTCTCTCTCTCTCTCTCGCTCTCTCTCTCTCTCTTCCCCCCCAGGACCCAGCTGGTATATTTGAGCTAGTGGAGTTGGTGGGAAATGGAACCTACGGGCAGGTCTACAAGGTAAGACACACCCCTCAACACACTCTCAACCTACAGCGTGCCTGAGGACGCCTCCCACATGGGCTCTGTCACCAAAGACAGTATAGTATGAAGATAGGCACAAACTGCTTCTCCAATAGAAATCCCCAATCCCGCTTGTAGGCGATGTCATGGCGATATTGGCTAGATAAACTCATGAGTAGAAACACGTCATTTGGTCTAACGGTCATCTCACACCAAGATGTTAAGCTCTCTGTCCTGCAGCCTCATGCTGACACACACACACACGGTTGAATAATATTAGAGATAACAGCAGAAGCGGGTTCTGCCATTATTTTTTTTTTTTGCCATTTCGTGTATGTGTTGACAGCCTTTGGTCTTGCTGGGTGAGATGAGAGGCTCATTACAGGCAGGTCGTTACACAACATGATCTTACCTGCAGTACCAGGATCAAGCCCCAACACGGCCATAGCAGTGCTGTGTGTGTGTCTGTATGTGTGTTTGCTTGCATTTTCCTATTGCAATGGCTGTGAATGATGCACGTACTATGCAAACACGCACTTCTCAATCCACAAACCACTGTTTGGTCTGCTTTGCAAGCGTTCCCGGAAGTATTGCGATGTTGCACCTGTGGGTTTAGAAACTCTGTGGTGTCACCTTCCACTGACCTGTTAGAGCTGCCAATGAGGAGAGAGAGCTGATGAGTTTTATTTACAGACATGTTTTTCACTTCAGGGCCAGGTTGAGAAACAAGCCCTAGCCCCTGGCCTAGCCCCTAAACCCAGGCACTTGTGTAGATCTGAGAAGAAAAAGTGGAGCTAGTATTTCTTATATTCAATCTACATGATACCAGGGGTTTGGAGCTAGTATTTCTTACCTATTCAATCTACATGATACCAGGGGTTTGGAGCTAGGGGTTGTTTTTGGACAGGGCCCAGGTATCGGTGCACTTGGTTTCACTTGCTTTCTTTGCCGGTGACTTTTCACGTCAAAACGCTCTGATGCACCTGTTACAAGCTAACTTGTGGAATTACAGCCTGGGTGGGCTGTACAGGTAGTCTGTTACACACTGTTTGTCAGACAGAGATGGGTGGGTTAGTGTGAAGCTGTAGGCCTATTTGTTTCCATGTTATCTAGCTTTTCACTGGAAGACTTAATAGTAGGTATCATAGCCCCTTCATTCTTTCTGTCTTCCTCTTTTCTAGCTTTTCACTGGAATACTTATTAGTAGGTCTCATAGCCCCCTCTATCTCTCTCTCTCTGTCTCCGTCTCTGTCTCCGTCTGTCTGTCGCTCCGTCTCGCTCTGTTTCTCTGTTTGTCTGTCTGTCTGTCTCTCTCTCTCTCGTGTTGGGTCTTATCAGTAGAGTAACATTACTCAGGCAGGTCAGGAATGTGAGGCGTGTCTGAACCAAGGAGTGTTTCTATGCCTCAGGACACCTAAAAAGGGAGTATTCTGTCCTTTTCTCTACACACACACACACATACCCGTACACACAAACACACACACACACATACCCCTACACACATACCCGTACACACAAACACACACACATACCCCTACACACATACTGTAGGAAGGATGTTTATTTGGATTACGGATGCTTATGTTTCTGTTTACCGCTCCGATGTCACTCTATCCAGTTCAATTCAGTTTTATCCATTTCGATATCTATTGAGTCAAGTAATGTTTTTATCTGCGCTATACACTGAGTGTACAAAACATTAGGAACTCCTGCTCTTTCCATGACATTGACTGACCAGGTGAATCCAGGTGAAAGCTATGATCCCTTATTCATGTCACTTCAATCAGTAAAGATTAAGGGGAGCAGACAGGTTAAAGAAGGATTTTTAAGCCTTGAGACAATTCAGACATGGATTATGTACAGTTGAAGTCGTAAATTACACCTTAGCCAAATACATTTAAACTCAGTTTTTCACAATTCCTGACATTTAATCCTAGTACGAATTCCCTGTCTTAGGTCAGTTAGGATCACCACTTTATTTTAAGAATGTGAAATGTCAGAATAATAGTAGAGATAATTATTTATTTCATTACATTACATTCCCAGTGGGTCAGAAGTTTACATACACTCAATTAGTATTTGGTAGCATTTCCTTTAAATTGTTCAACTTGGGTCAAACGTTTTGGGTAGCCTTCCACAAGCTTCCCACAATAAGTTGGGTGAATTTTGGCCCATTCCTCCTGACAGAGCTGGTCAGGGCTTTGTGATGGCCACTCCAATACCTTGACTTAGTTGTCCTTAAGCCATTTTGCCACAACTTTGGAAGAATGCTTGGGGTCATTGTCCATTTGGAAGACCCATTTGCGACCAAGCTTTAACTTCCTGACTGATGTCTTGAGATGTTGCTTCAATATATCCACACAATTTTCCTTCCTCATGATGCCATCTATTTTGTGAAGTGCACCAGTCCCTCCTGCAGCAAAACACCTCCACAGCATGATGCTGCCACCCCCGTGCTTCACGGTTGGGATGGTGTTCTTCGGCTTGCAAGCCACCCCCTTTTCCTCCAAACATAACGATGGTCATTATGGCCAAACAGTTCTATTTTTGTTTCATCAGACCAGAGGACATTTCTCCAAAAAGTACGATCTTTGTCCCCATGTGCAGTTGCAAACCGTAGTCTGGCTTTTTTATGGCGATTTTGGAGCAGTGGCTTCGCCCTTACTGTGGATATTGATACTTTTGTACCTGTTTCCTCCAGCATCTTCACAAGGTCCTTTGCTGTTGTTCTGGTATTGATTTGCACTTTTCGCACCAAAGTACGTTCATCTCTAGGAGACAGAACGCGTCTCCTTCCTGAGCGGTATGACGGCTGCGTGGTCCCATGGTGTTTATACTTGCGTACTATTGTTTGTACAGATGAACGTGGAACCTTCAGGCGTTTGGAAATTGCTCCCAAGGATGAACCAGGTCTTGGCTGATTTCTTTTGAGTTTCCCATGATGTCAAGCAAAGAGACACTGAGTTTGAAGGTACGCCTTGAAATACATCCACAGGTACACCTCCAATTGACTCAAATTATGTCAATTAGCCTATCAGAAGCTTCTAAAGCCATGGCATAATTTTCTGGAATTTTCCAAGCTGTTTAAAGGTGCAGTGAACTCAGTGTATGTAAACTTCTGACCCACTGGAATTGTGATACAGTGAATTATAAGTTAAATAATCTGTCTGTAAACAATTGTTGGAAATATTACTTGTGTCATGCACAAAGTAGATAAAACTATAGTTTGTATACAAGACATTTGTGGAGTGGTTGAAAAACAAGTTTTAATGACTCCAACCTAAGTGTATGTAAACTTCCGACTTCAACTGTATGTGTACCATTCAGAAGGTGAATGGGCAAGACAAAATATTTAAGTGCCTTGGAACGGGGTATGGTAGTAGGTGCCGGGCACACCGGTTTGAGTGTGTCAAGAACTGCAACGCTGTTGGGTTTTTCACGCTCAACAGTTCCCCGTGTGTATCAAGAATGGTCCACCACCCAAAGGACATCCAGCCAACTTGACACAACTGTGGGAGTCAACATGGGCCAGCATCCATGTGGAACGCTTTCGACACCTTATAGAGAACAGAAGAGTGACTTTTAACAGTTTGGTTCAGCTTCTTTGCCTGTCAAATACATTCAGTGTGTCTGATGCAATACTGAGAAACAGATACGGTGTGTTTGTGTGTGTTGTAACCCCAGCTCACATGTCTGCCTGTCTGGACTACAATGACTAAACAACGTGCCAGGCCTGTTGCTAGGCTACCATGAGGAAGTGCGTGCGTGTGTTTCTGTGTGTTATGGTGGTGATGTGTGAATTCTTCCGCTCTATAAAGAGCATCTTATCTTACGTGATGTTTTTTGTATTGTTTAACTTCCCTACTGTAAAGTAACTGCGTCTGCTGGCAACTGATATACAGTAAATCTAGATGGAACCTTGTCAATGCGCATCAGCGGCAGTCGTATGTGTTGGCCTGCTGGCGGTCAGCCATCTTGGTCGGGCTGAGAGCTGGATGACAGGCTGTGGCTCTGAGACCAAAACACACACAGATTACAGGATGGTATTGTTGGCGAAACAGATTTATTTCAGATTCTCTCTCTCACTCTCTCTCTTTTTTCAGGGTCGGCATGTCAAAACAGGCCAGCTTGCAGCCATCAAAGTTATGGACGTCACTGGCGTAAGTCACATGCACGCACGTGCACACACACACACAAAAATAAAGAAAGCTATCCCAAATTGTTCTCAACTGTGTTTGTGTGTGTGTATATCACTATAAGGTGTTTGTATCACTATAAGGTGTTTGTGTGTGTGTGTGTGTGTGTGTGTGTGTGTGTGTTCCAGGATGAGGAAGAGGAGATTAAAGCAGAGATCAACATGTTGAAGAAGTACAGCCACCATCGGAACATTGCTACCTACTATGGTGCCTTCGTCAAGAAAAATCCACCTGGTATCGACGACCAGCTATGGGTACGTAAGTGTTTGTACAGTGAGGGGAAAAAAGTATTTGATCCCATGCTGATTTTGTACGTTTGCCCACTGACAAAGACATGATCAGTCTATAATTTTAATGGTAGGTTTATTTGAACAGTGAGAGACAGAATAACAACAACAAAATCCAGAAAAACGCATGTCAAAAATGTTATAAATTGATTTGCATTTTAATGAGGGAAATAAGTATTTGACCCCTCTGCAAAACATTACTTAGTACTTGGTGGCAAAACCCTTGTTGGCAATCACAGAGGTCAGACGTTTCTTGTAGTTGGCCACCAGGTTTGCACACATCTCAGGAAGGATTTTGTCCCACTCCTCTTTGCAGATCTTCTCCAAGTCATTAAGGTTTCGAGGCTGACATTTGGCAACTCGAACCTTCAGCTCCCTCCACAGATTTTCTATGGGATTAAGGTCTGGACATTGGCTAGGCCACTCCAGGACCTTAATGTGCTTCTTCTTGAGCCACTCCTTTGTGGCCTTGGCTGTGTGTTTTGGGTCATTGTCATGCTGGAATACCCATCCACAACCCATTTTCAATGCCCTGGCTGAGGGAAGGAGGTTCTCACCCAAGATTTGACGGTACATGGCCCCGTCCATTGTCCCTTTGATGCGGTGAAATTGTCCTGTCCCCTTAGCAGAAAAACACCCCCAAAGCATAATGTTTCCACCTCCATGTTTGACGGTTCTCATGATCATTGCAACTCCACGAGGTGAGATCTTGCATGGTGCCCCAGGCCGAGGGAGATTGACAGTTCTTTTGTGTTTCTTCCATTTGCGAATAATCGCACCAACTGTTCTCACCTTCTCACCAAGCTGCTTGGCGATGGTCTTGTAGCCCATTCCAGCCTTGTGTAGGTCTACAATCTTGTCCCTGACATCCTTGGAGAGCTTTTTGGTCTTGGCCATGGTGGAGAGTTTGGAATCTGATTGATTGATTGCTTCTGTGGACAGGTGTCTTTTATACAGGTAACAAGCTGAGATTAGGAGCACTCCCTTTAAGAGTGTGCTCCTAATCTCAGCTCGTTACCTGTATAAAAGACACCTGGTAGCCAGAAATCTTTCTGATTGAGAGGGGGTCAAATACTTATTTCCCTCATTAAAATGAAATCAATTTATAACATTTTTGACATGCATTTTTTCTGGATTTTTTGTTGTTGTTATTCTGTCTCTCACTGTTCAAATAAACCTACCATTAAAATTATAGACTGATCATTTCTTTGTCAGTGGGCAAACATACAAAATCAGCAGGGGATCAAATACTTTTTTCCCTGACTGTGAGTGAGTTTGGTGTGTGTTAAACCTCTCTCTCTGTCTGTCTCTGTCTCTGTCTCTGTCTCTCTCTCTCTCTGTCTCTCTCTGTCTGTCTCTCTCTCTCTCTGTCTGTGTAGTTGGTGATGGAGTTCTGTGGGGCAGGCTCAGTAACAGATCTGATTAAGAACACCAAGGGGAACTCTCTGAAGGAGGAGTGGATTGCCTACATCTGCAGAGAGATCCTTAGGGTACCACCCTCTATGTAGAACTAATGCAATCAACACATTTGGAATGAGACCTACTGAAATAATGTCTTATAATTACCAACCTCTTTCTATCGCTAGGGTCTGACCCATCTCCACCAACATAAGGTCATCCACAGAGACATCAAGGGTCAGAACGTCCTGCTGACAGAGAACGCAGAGGTCAAACTGGGTGAGGCAGGCAAGCAGGCAGGCAGGCAGGCCGGCCAGCCGGCAGACAGACAGACAGGCAGACAGACAGCAAACTGTTTAAACATGAGTGTGTGTGTTTGTGTGCATATGTTCCAGTGGACTTCGGTGTGAGTGCCCAGTTGGACCGTACGGTGGGAAGGAGGAACACGTTTATAGGGACGCCCTATTGGATGGCTCCTGAAGTCATCGCCTGCGACGAAAATCCTGAGGCCACCTACGACTTCAAGGTACCTTAGCTGGCTGTGTGTGGATGCGTGTGTTTCTTTGAGGGTTTAGTGTATTTTCCCTTCTCATCTTCTCCATCGCTCCTAACTTATCTCTCTCTTTCTCTCTCTCAGAGTGATCTGTGGTCTCTGGGTATTACAGCTATAGAGATGGCAGAAGGAGCACCGCGTAAGTACCAGCACCTACCACACACAGGCTGGCACAATACCGTGGCATTAGACACTATCAGATGTTTTGTGCGTTGGTTGGAGGTGTTGTGGTTTGTTATTGGGGGTATCCTGAGATGGGTATTGTGTGTGTGTGTGTGTGTCAAGGCTCTGGTGTTAACCCTTTCTCTTCCTCTGCAGCACTGTGTGACATGCACCCAATGAGGGCTCTCTTCCTGATCCCCAGGAACCCTGCCCCCAGACTCAAGTCCAAGAAGTGGTGAGTTACCACACACACACGCGCGCGCACTCACACAAACACTCACTATGTTGTCTCTGTATACGTTCAGGTCTAAGAAGTTCCAGTCGTTCATCGAGAGTTGCTTAGTGAAGAGTCATGGTCAGAGACCCAACACAGAACAGCTGTTGAAGCACCCCTTCATCAGAGAGCTGCCCAACGAACGACAGGTCCGCATCCAACTGAAGGACCACATCGACAGAACCAAGAAGAAACGCGGAGAGAGGGGTGAGGCACACACACACACACACACACAACAGAGGGCTCAGATCCCATTGTGTCTGCCATTGACGTGTGTTTGTAACTGGTTAATGTGTGTGTGTGTTTCTAACCATGTGTTACAGATGAGACTGAGTATGAGTACAGTGGCAGTGAGGAAGAGGAGGAGGAACGGGATATGGGGGAGCCAAGGTGGGGGTTTTCTGTGCTTGTGCGTACATGCACTGGTGTGTGCATGCGTATTTGCTTCCAAAAGGGATTTACGCTCATAAACCTTCCCTCTCCTATCTCTTCTCTCATTGGTCCTTGTCCAGCTCCATCATCAACATCCCTGGGGAGTCGACGTTGAGGCGGGACTTCCTGCGGCTGCAGCTGGCCAATAAGGAGCGTTCTGAGGCTCTGAGGCGGCAGCAGTTGGAGCAACAGCAGAATGAGGAACACAAACGCCTCCTGTTGGCAGAACGACAGAAACGCATAGAGGAGCAGAAAGAACAGAGGAGGAGACTGGAGGAGGTAGAGCAGTGTTGGGAAGACCAGCATGGTCTTTACTCTATCATGCCCACCTGGACCGTACTCTGCTGGCTCAGATCGTTTCTGTTCACATTGCATTTTCCAGCACAGCTCAGCTTGATAACATATCTGGTGCCAGCTTTGATAACCTATATAAAAAGAAAGCACGCTGGTCCTATACCATTCATTCTCTCTCTCACTGTCTTTATTTTTTCTCTCTCACTCCCTCGCTCTCTCTCTCCATCTCTCTCTTTCTCCAACAGCAACAGCGTAGGGAACGTGAGATGAGGAAGCAACAGGAGAGAGAACAGAGGAGACGCTATGAAGAGATGGAACAACTACGGAGAGATGAGGAGAGGAGGCACGCAGAGAGAGAACAGGTACACACACAGGTAACACTCAGGTGCGCACACACCCACACTCTCTCCCTCTCTCTCTCTCACACATAACATACACACATCAACTAGGAATCACCCCATTCTGCCAGAGCTCTTTTGCAGACCAGATATAGACTTAACATAGATCTGTCATGAGGCTGACATTTAGATGTTATGAAGCTACATGTCCCAGGCCAGGTATAGTAAGGGTCTGGGTCAAGGATCCGGATGGTTCTGCTTCACTAATGTTTCTCTTTCACTCTAATGTTTAATACTCACTCTCTAAAACACTTTGTTTTTCTCTCTTACACGCTTGATTCAATACTAAATACCAAGTCTCTTTTTTTGGTAATGCCGTTTTCTTTTCTTTCTTCCAACTGAATCTGCTAATCACTCTCTGTCTCTCTGTTCTCTCTCTCTCTCTCTCCCTCTCTCTCTGTATCTCTTCTCTCTCTCTCTCTCCTCTGTATCTCCCATCTCATGTCCTCTCTCTCTCTCATCTGTCTCTGTCGTCTCTGATCTCTCTCTCTGTCCTCTCTGTCTCTCTGTAGTCTCTCTCTCTCTCTCTGTATCTCTCTCTCTTTGATCTCTCTCTCTGTCCTCATCTCTCTCTCTGTTCTCTCTGTCTTTCTGTCTTATCTGTATATCTCTCTATTCTCTCTCTAGTATTATCTATATATTATTACTATATCTTCTTCTCATATCGTATATCTTATCTTCTATCTCTATGTATTGCCTCTGTATATCTTCTCGTCTCTGTGTATCTTCTCTCTAGTCTTCTCTCTCTACCTCTATCGTATTATCTCTCTGTCATCTCTCTATTGTCACTCTACTCTATTCTCTCGCTGTCTCTTCTTAGTCTCTCTCTCTAATATATCGTCATCTTCTATGTCCTCTTTCTATCTTCGTGTTCTCTCTTTTTATGTCTCTATATGTCCGATCTTACGCTGTTCCTCTCTCTTTTCATGTCACTCATCTCTGTCTCTATCTCTGTCACTCTGCTTACTCATGGCTTTTCTCCGTCCTCTCTCTTATCTCTATTGTGTCCTCTCTCTCTGTCTCTCTCTCTGTCCCTCTGTCTATCTCTATCGGTACTCTCTCTGATGGTCCCCTCCTCTCTACTTTGTATCTCTATTGTACTTTGTTCTCTTCTCTATGCTCTATCTATCTCATCTCGTCTATATTATCTGTATCTCTATCTCTCTATATTCTGCTTCTACTCTGTCGTATCCTACTTTCATCTATTCTCTACGTCTCTCTCTCTGTCCTCTATCTCTGTCCTTCTCTATATGTCTTCTATATCCTCTGTCTTATCTCTCTCTCCTCTCTACTCTCTCTTCTTATCTCTGTATCTATCTCATCTCTGATCTTTTCTCTATCTTCTATCTCTACTGTACTCTCTCTTCTCTCTGTCATTTCCTCTATCTGTCCTCTCTCGATCTATATGTTCTTCTGTTGTCTCTCTTCTGTTCCCCTTTTTGTCCTTTTGCCCTTTTTTCTCTGTTTTTCTCGTCCTTTCTCTGTTTCTCTGTTCACTCCTCTTCTTCTTTTTCTCTCTGTTTTCTTTTCCTTTTCTTTCCCCCTTTTCCTCCTTTTGTCCTCTTTTCTTGCCCTCTCTCTCTGTGTCCTCTCTCTCTCTTTCTCTTTCTCTCTCTCTCTCTCTCTTATCTCCATTATTCCCCTCTGCTATGTTGGTCTTAATCTTTACTTCGGGTTCTTTCTCTCTTTCAACAAATCTTCTCCTTAATCTGTCCTTGTCCAACCTCTCTCACTTTCTCTTTATCCCTCTCCTTTCTCCTCTTCTCTCTCCATCACTCTATTTCTGCCTCTGATGACTCACATGGCTGCTCTCCTGCTGCTCTGATTGGCTGATATCCTGGCTATCTGGCCTGTGATTGGTTAGGAGTATATCCGTAGGCAGCTGGAGGAGGAGCAAAGACAGCTGGAGATTCTACAGCAACAACTGCTCCAGGAGCAGGCTCTACTGATGGTAACCTCATCCCTAAGTCCTCAGCCTATCACCACTAACCATTCACTCAGTGGCATGTCCAGAACATTTTGAATGGGGTGGCCAAGGTGGGGCACAGACCCACTTTAGGGGTGCCATAACATTTTGAACCTTAATTTCCAATATAATTATGATGGTTCAACGCCAGTGGAGGCTGGTGACTTGAAAGATTGAGGAGGACGGACCGCACAGATGGCAAAGCTTGTTTGAAAAACTGTCTAAGACAAATTATTTTAACCTAAAACATTTATTAACGGCGTTTATAGTTCAATATTCTAGGGAGTAGCAGTGGAGGACAGGCTCATCATAGATGGATGGTGTTTGACAAGCGCTCAACTCTTCCATTTATGGCAGGACAGGATTGTACTGTGAAGACAAACTCCACAAATATGTGCAGTTAGACTAAACAGCCAACACATAAATTATAATGATATAAGCCTCTATTTATTGCAGGATTGTGATTAATCAACATTGACACTAGTTCAACATTGACACCAGGGGTGGGCTGGCCCAGTCCTGGTGAAGATGCTACTGAGTGTTTGCTGGAATCAGCTTCCCTGCCCTGAATGCTACTTGAGGAAGGTGTAATACTGACATCAGATCAGAAATTACTTGCACAACGTGCCGCTGGTCCCGCCTCATTGAGTTGATCAACTTGAGTAACGACCTATCAGATCTCAGAATTTCTGGGGGGGGCCACCAGGGTTGTCGATCAGATTTCAGGGGGGGCCGTGGGCCACCCTCTGGACATGCCACTGCTTCACTATGGCTATCTAGCCCTCTACTCCTACTCCACATCTCAGTGTTGCCTCCACAAAAACCCCATATCTCTCTTGTGGATCCAGCACATACATTGAGTCGTTGCATTCCTCCCTGTGTAAACTGTATGTGTGCGTGTAACTACAGGAGTACAAGCGTAAGCAGATTGAGGAGCAGCGCCAGGCTGAGCGGCTCCAGAGACAGTTGCAGCAGGAGAGGGCCTACCTGGTGTCCTTACAGCAGCAGCAGGAGCCACGGCCACAAGACAACAAACAGCTGTACCACTACAAAGACACAGCCCCCAATAACGACAAACCTGCCTGGGCCAAGGAGGTACTGTTAACACAGCACTCGTAGATGGGTTCAGTTTATGTGGTTACACCAGCAGTATATTTTACAACATTTACATCATGTCTCCTACAATGATCTCTCTTTCTCGCTTCCAAAAGCAGGATTTTGGTTTTCTGAAGAGTTGGATCCCTGTAGCGTTGCAATGTCTGAACTATAAGATATATGACAACGTCTCTCTCTTACTCCGACACACACAGCGTCTCCATCATGGACAGCTCCTCTACTAGTTTATGTGTTAGTTCTAAAAGTGTTGTTCAGGTTCTGCCATGGTAATGTGTGTGTGTGCTTGATTAGTAGACAAGTGTGTGTGTAAAATGACAGTATGTCCACCTGTATATGTGTGTGATGTTGTGTATGATGCCCCCTGTCTCTAGGTGATGCGTCGAGCCCAGAGTAACTCCCCTCGTATACCTCCCAAGAAGCACCACTCCTTTAACCAGCCTCGAGAAGCCAGCCTATCACACCTCCTCCTGCTCCCTGGTTACACCCCCCGCTCCCGCCCCCCCTCCTACCCTGCCCAATCAAGCAACTCTGGAGAGAGGCTCCTCCAATCTGATAATGTGACCGTTCCGTGTATACGTGTGTCCTGTGCCTCTGATCCTGTCCCTGACTCCTCTTATCCAATCCTGCGTCATCCTGAGGCGAGAAGGAGGAGCCCTGAGGGAGGAGTCCAGGAGTCTAGGGGGAGGTGTCCAGGTCGTCTGGTCAGTCAGGGAGACACACCCACTTCCTGTGTGTCTGATCCACTTCCTTGTCCCCCCTCTCTCTCCAGAGGTGGACTAACATTAATCCTTGACTGGTGTGTCTGGGGAGCTCTCTCTCTTTCCCTTCACTCCTTTCTTCTGGACGTGACTCTCCTTTCCCTATTAACCATTTTCTCTTCCCTTGCACCAGGGGACGGACTCCTGAAAAAACCCTGCCTGGAATGTTCTATGTTTTAGAATGGTTGCTGGTGTTTTCTAGAATGGTGGCTGGTGTTTTCTAGAACAGCTTTTTTCCTTCTCTACATTCTGGAATGGTGCATGGCATGGTTATAGATGTACTCTCAGAGACTAACAGACTTGTCATTTCCAGATTATCGTCTGTAACTGTTTCATTAACCCCTTCCTCCCATCTCTCTCTTCCTCTAGAGGTCTTTACCACAGACTGGTCTGTCTCCTTCAGAATCTCAGTTCTTCAAACTGAATGTTTTAGTCTGCTTCATGTTCAGGCTCCATGCTTCTCTCAGGGACACACTGCAGCTCCTGATTTAGCCTAGATCCAGGCCACACACACCACACCAGGCTTGCCCCCCAGTGGCCACTGTGAACTGATGTAGGCCAGCCGCGGCTATATCTGTCTCAGCCCACACGGGTGTATCTACTTCCCTATAGACACACACACCGGTACACACACACACACCGGTACACACACAGGCACGTACACACACATGCAGACTGTAGCCAGGTCTGTCTCTGGTCTCTCCTGAACATGGCTTCTCCTCCATGGTAACGGCTCTGAGGGAAACTGGAGGTTTGACACACATGTCACACAAGACACACAAACATACATGCATTGATAAATATGTCACTGACGGCCAATATAAATGATTGTGCTCTGTGTGTGCGGGTGTGTGTGCGTGCGTGTGTGTGTCAGGTGGAAGAGCGTTCCAAGCTGAACAGACAGAGTTCTCCAGCGCTGCAACATAAAGTGTCCAACCGTATCTCCGACCCATCCCTGCCCCCCCGCTCAGAGTCCTTCAGCAGCGGGGGCATACAGCAGGCCCGAACACCCCCCATGCACCGCTCCGTAGAACCACAGGTGTGTGTGTGTGGGGGAGTGGAAGGGTGTGGGTGCATGTGTACAGTATATGTATGTGCACGTTTACCCTTTTTGATGTTTGTTTCTCCTCCTTTCATTTCCCCTTTCCCTCCCACTCTACCTTCCTCACCTCCCTCCCCCTCTACCTTCCTCACCTCCCTCCACCTATCCTCCCTATCCCCTTCCTTCTCCTCCCTTTCCCCCTCTCCCTCCCCTGTTCATTTCCTCACCTCCCTCCCCCTCTCCTCTCTCCCGGCTCCTCTCTCTTCCTCCTCTACACCTGCTCCTCTACCTGCCTGGTCCTGATGTATGATCCTGCTCCTCTGGTCTGGTCCTGGTCTGGTCTTGTCAGATGGCCCACCTGGTGCAGGTGAAGTCCCATGGTCTGTCTGGGTCCCAGTCTCTTCACGACCCTGCAGGGGTCACGGGTCTGTCCCCCTCCCCATCCCCCGGCCGCCCCCCCATGCCCCGCCAGAACTCTGACCCTACCTCAGACACCCCTCCTTCTATACCTCTCCCCCGCCTCGCTCCCCCGCTCGACAAACTGGACCGCAGCTCCTGGCTACGAACGGACCTAGACCTACCTCCCAAGGTCTGCATGACAATGTCTGTTGGTTTGTGTCTGGAATGCAATGTCTCAACTTTTGGTGCCCCTTACAATTGTTTATCTCATATCACTATGTACATACAGTTTAGCAAACTTAGTTTGAGATTGAGAATACAGTATATGATCTACTCAGACACTCTGTGTCCCACTTAGACCTTTTCTAACTGTTTTTTATTGGTTCTGTGTGTGTGTGTGTGTGTGTGTGTGTGTGTGTGTGTGTGTGTGTGTGTGTGTGGTGTGTGTGTGTGTGTGTGTGTGTGTGTGTGTGTGTGTGTGTGTGTGTGTGTGGTGTGTGTGTGTGTTTGGTTTTACTATCCTTGTGGGGACCAGAAGTCCTCACAAGGATAGTACAACAAGGAAAATTCGGACAAGTTCGGACATTTTGCCGGTCCCCTCATGGAAAAGGCTATTTTAGGGTTAGGGGTTAGAGAAATTAGGATTTTGAAGGGGAATCAATTGTTTGGTCCCCACAAGGATAGTAAAACACACGTGTGTGTATGTGCAGGTGCCCCAGAGGACCACGTCTATCTCTCCAGCCCTGGTCAGGAAGAACTCTCCTGGGAACGGACCTGGGGGCCTTGCTCCTAGAGCTGGAGCCAACCTGATACAGGCCAGGTACACACACACACACATATATACTATACACACATACACAAACGCCATGTTCCTTTGTGAATCAGGCAGTTTTTGTGTGTTGCCATAGTAACCCAGACCTGCGGAGGGCTGATGTTCCCATGGAAACTCCCCTGAAGAGGAAGAGCAGCGGCAGCTCCTCCAGTTCCTCTACCCCTTCCTCCCAGGGGGGCAGCAACGAAAGAGGTACACACAAACACCACCACACACAGATTCCCATGTGTGTTACTGTAAATGTTTCAACCCTTAAGACTCTATACCAGGGGTGTCAAACTCATTTTAGCTCAGGGGCCACATGGAGGAAAATCTATTCCCAAGTGGGCCGGACCGGAAAAATCATGGTGTATATATAACTTAAAAACAACAACTTCAGATTGTTTTCTTTGTTTTAATACGATCAACATACAACATAAAGCTGGAGCCTGAGGACAGTGTGTCCAAAATAGTACAAGCACAACATCACTATTAATCATAAAACACGTCAAGTTTATTTGAAAATTCTAAAGAACACACAAACACACAATGCCTCAGTGATTAACAGAACTGTTTCACAGATCACAGAACTATATCAGGGTGTCATTTCTCAGGCAGAAATGTAGATACAAATAATGAAATCCTGTTCCCCAAACAAGTGCAAGAACCACAGAGTCAAGAATAGGTTAAATATACAAATAAAATAAAATCAATTAAAAACAATAGCACATCAACATAAAAACATATAAACATAAAGCTGGAGCCTGAGGACAGTGTCCAAAAGCACAACATCACTATTAATCATAAAACACCTCAAGTTATTTGAAAGTTCTGAGGACAAAGAACACACAAACACACAATGCCTCAGTGATTCGCAGAACTGTTTCACAGATCACAGAACTATATCAGGGTGTCATTTCTCAGGCAGAAATGTAGATAAAAATTATGAAATCCTGTTCCCCAAACAAGTGCAAGAACCACAGAGTCAATAATAGGTTAAATATACAAATAAGATAAAATCAATTAAAAACAATAGCACATCAACATAAAAACATATAAACATAAAGCTGGAGCCTGAGGACAGTGTCCAAAAGCACAACATCACTATTAATCATAAAACACCTCAAGTTATTTGAAAGTTCTGAGGACAAAGAACACACAATGCCTCAGTGATTCACAGAAGTATATCACAGATCACAGAACTATATCAGGGTGTCATTTCTCAGGCAGAAATGTAGATAAAAATAATGAAATCCTGTTCCCCAAACAAGTGCAAGAACCACAGAGTCAAGAATAGGTTAAATATACAAATAAAATAAAATCAATTAAAAACAATAGCACATCAACATAAAAACATATAAACATAAATCTGAAAGCGTTGCTCAAACTCCCGTAACAGTCCCGTTATTTTATCTTTGAACCGCTTCATGTCTGCCACATGTTGGGTCGCGCACACATTTTTCAGACAGGGGAAGTGAGCTGCATCACCACCGGCAAGTTGCGTCTCCCACAATGACAGCTTCAACTTGAGAGAACGTATGCTGTCATAATACTGTGTGACAACTTTGTTGCGCCCTTGCAGCTGTTTGTTCAAGTTATTCAGGTGCTCTGTAACATCCACCATAAATGCAAGGTCCGGCATCCATTCTGCGGAATGAAATTCTAACACTGGTTTGCCTTTTTCTTCCATGAACTGTTCAATTTCTTCTCGTAAATCAAAGAAACGCCTCAGCACAGCACCTCGGCTTAACCATCTTACCTCAGTGTGGTATGGCAGGCCATAGATGTGGTCTTTCTCTCTGAGAAGGCTGTCAAACTGACGGTGATTCAGGCTTCTGGATCGGATGAAATTAACAGTTTGGATGACCACCTTCATGACGTTATCCATCTTTAATGACTTGCAACACAAAGCCTCCTGGTGCAAAATACAGTGAAAAGTCAAAAAATCACGTCCTCCATTTGCAGATTGCACTTTCTCTCTGAACTTTGTCACAACGCCTGCTTTTTTCCCGATCATTGAGGGCGCACCATCTGTAGCCAGGCTGACAGCGCGGGACCAGTCCACTCCGACCCTGTCCAGCACACCAACGAGTGCGGTAAAAATATCAGCTGCTGTCGTTGTATCTGTCATCGGCACCAACTCCACGAACTCCTCGGTGACGGTCAATGTGTCATCAACTCCGTGGATGAAAAAATGGCCAGTTGTGCAACATCTGTAATGTCCGTGCTTTCATCAATTGCAACCGAAAACGCAATAAATGACTTTACTTTTTGCTTCAACTGGCTGTCCAAATCCACTGAAAGATCGGAAATCCTGTCTGCAACTGTGTTTCTTGTCAGGCTGATATTTGCAAAAGCCTGCCGCTTTTCAGGGCACACAATCTCTGCTGCCTTCATCATGCATGTTTTTACAAATTCACCCTCACTAAATGGTTTTGAAGCCACTGCGATTTCATTAGCAATGAGGTAGCTAGCTTTCACTGCAGCGTCACTGATGTCTCGGCTGTGAGTAAACACAGACTGCTGTTTCTTCAGACCCGCCAACAGTTCATTCACCTTCTCTCATCTCCGCTGTCCTTGAAAGTTGTCATATTTGTCGGCATGAAGACTCACATAGTGGCGACGAAGGTTATATTCTTTCAGCACTGCAACATGCTCTGAACACACCAAACATACAGCTTTCCCATTCAATTCCGTGATTAAATAGGATGACAATTTTTCTTGGAACACTGCACTCTGCGTCCACTTTTCTCTTTTTTGACATAGACATATTGGGGCAATGAGGGTGCCAAAGCACATAATGTTAAAAGTAGAAGCCGTAATAAATATTGCGGGCAAAACAAAGTAGCTCATTGCTCATTGCACGTGCTTGACCTACTTGCTCTGCCCCGGTATAAACAGTTTGCTTGCTTAACACAATTGCTATTGCGCCATCCAGTGGGCGCAATTGGAACAGCAGTTTATTTTATTGAAAAATTGCAGCGCATTTTTATACTTTACAAAATTAAAACACTTTTTTTTAATTTTTTTTATTTTAAATCATCTCGCGGGCCGGATTAAACCCGTTTGCGGGCCTGATCCGGCCCGCGAGCCGTACGTTTGACACCCCTGCTCTATACAGTCAGAGAGAAGATGTGGTTGGTTGACTATTTAGTGAGCAGTGATGTGATTGGTTGACAGGGGCCAATAAAGCGGAGGGGTCTGGGGCACCGGCCCAGGAGACCAAAGAAGAGAACAGAGATGTGACACTGACACGACCTAGCAGGCCCGCGGTGAGTACAGAAAAAACACAACCCATTCTCTTCTTTGAACTAACCAATACATGTCTCATCTCTTTCGTCTTCTCTCATCTCTGTCCCTCCCACATTCCTTTTTTATTCTCTCCCTCCTCTTTCTCCGCTCTGCGTTTCTCTCCAACCTCTTTAGAGCTATAAGAGAGCTGTAGATGAGGTTAGTGGCATTTCTCCTCCCCCTTTCTCCATCTCGCTCACTCTCTCACCCATTCACTTCCTAGCTCTTTCACTCATTCATCCACTCAGGGATTTACTCACTATCACCACCCTCTCCCCCTCTAGGGCTGTTGCGGTGACCATATTACCACCACACCGGCTGTCATGACCGCAGTAAAATTCCATGTGACCGCTGAGTCACGGTAATCTCCTCTTATGCACTCTGGACATGCATTAGTAGTACCCAACTCTCTAACGACCATCAGGTCGCTAACAGCCTGGTACTCAGGGCTCTATTGTCCCTCTAACCACTCTGACATCAATGAAAATGCAATCAAAAATCACATAAAAAACGTATCATCAAAACAGTATTGTGCTTTTAAAACTCACTTCATGGGGCCTCCCGAGTGGCGCAGCGGTCTAAGGCACTGCACTGCATCTCAGCACTTGAGGCGTCACTACAGACCCCCTGGTTAGATTCCAGGCTGTATCACAACCGGCCGTGATTGGGAGTCCCATAGGGTGGCGCACAATTGGCCCAGCGTCGTCCAGGTTAGGGGAGGGTTTGGCCGGCGGGGCTTTACTTGGCTCATCGCGCTCTAGCGACTCCTTGTGGCGGGCCGGGCGCCTGCAGGCTGACTTCGGTTGTCAGGTGAACGGTGTTTCCTCTGACACATTGGTACAGCTGGCTTCCGGGTTAAGCGGGCGGGTGTTAAGAAGCGCGGTTTGACAGGTCGTGTATCGGAGGACGCATGACTCGACCTTCGCCTCTCCTAAGCCCGTTGGGGAGTTGCAGCGATGAGACAAGATCGTAATTGGATCGCAATTGGATATCACGAAAAGGGGGTAAAAAAAAAATAGGTATAAAATAAAAATCACTTCACTGTGATTGATCAATTTGAATAAAGAAGTTCAAACTGGGAGAAACTGAGTGAAAAACATGGTCTTTGTGGATGTTGTTTCAAAGCCTAACAACGAAATGGACAGTGCTTTCTAAGGTGATGATTAATTCAAAACGCCCATACGCATATTAGAGCTTAAGCCCGAAAAAAAAACTCGGAATTAAAATAATGATTGTGCCATTATACAATACATAGTTTACTGCTGGGGTCTCCAAAGGGTCGATCACGAGCTGCCAGTAGCCCATTTATGAGTAGCCCCTGTCTGTCTGTGTGGTGCGAGTGTTTGTCTGTCACTCTGTGTGTAGCCAGTTGATGTGACAACCGTCTTATGGGTTGACAGAAACATTTCCCCCAAAACCTTCTCAATTAAAGGTTAACTGCAGAGTAGTCTTACCTGGCAGAAGTATATCATAAGTATATCATTTGTATCTATTATTTTATTTGTTATTTGGAAACTTTACCATGAAATGAACAGCAGCAGTACAGAACCATCACTAGACGGCACATTCCTCAAGGGCCAGATGCTCAATTAAAGGGCCAGATGTGCAATTAAAGGGGAATTACACTCAAACATATAAATGTGTTTGTTTTCTTCCAGACCCCCAATAAATGGTCTTCAGATGTGATTTAAGCATTTTCATGGACTCAGAACATCCAATTTCGTTGTTTCTCTATGAGCAATTGTAATTTTGAGAGTAAAATAAAAATCTAAAACCAGGAAAAATATAACCGAAAACATAATTTGGGAAAATGTAAAACAGATTTTATAGGGCCCCCACTTAGAGTTGTTTATTAACAACGTTTGCTACTTTCTCTTGTACACTAAGGACCCGGGGAAGAGTTGCAGGGGAGACGAGAAGAGAAGAGTGTACCTATTTGAAAGCTAGAAAAACATGAGTAGCTCGCAACGTTTCATTTTTTAAAAGTAGCTCTCATGCTAGAAAAGGTTGGAGAACCCTGGTCTATCACAAATTACGCACGGCAGAAAAACATTACAAAAATTACTGATTTTAAGATGTCTTTGGTGCATAATTGGTCTAGCCTATACTCCAAAACTGAACAAATTCTAGTAATGGCCTTTGAGTGTGGAATCTATTATTGTGCATAGTGGATGGACTGGTTACCTTATGCTACGCTCCAAACGTTCTATCCATGAGTTTAGGAGAGAACGTATTGGCCTAGGCAATGCTTTTGGTTCATTGATTGTGCAGGGCAGCTTACAGAGTTTTAGCCTACAATTATAGTGAATATGTATTTGATTTTGAATAGCCTAGTAATAAGGTATTTTTTATATTTTTTTGTTGTGAAAACATGTTACTATCGATGTTCCCTAACATATGTCATGTGTTTTCCCAAATTAAGCACTAGATAGCTGCAGGAACAGGGTTGGAGAGCCCATGGCATACAGAGGAATATGACTTGTCGCGCAGCGAGAGGCTGCATGCTCCTCAAACAGTGGTTGATGCCTGGAGTGAAATAACCAGAATAGCCAGCATGATTGAAAAACGAACAGGCGAGAAAGCGGCCTCCATTCGCTATTCGAGTGCATACGGCTGACATGTCTTTTTTCCCCCTGCTCTTGTTTCTGCCCATTTCATAATGGGCCATTCTAAATCAAAACCAATTTTACATACAGTGGGGAAAAAAAGTATTTAGTCAGCCACCAATTGTGCAAGTTCTCCCACTTAAAAAGATGAGAGAGGCCTGTAATTTTCATCATAGGTACACGTCAACTATGACAGACAAAATGAGAAAGAAAATTCCAGAAAATCACATTGTAGGATTTTTAACGAATTTATTTGCAAATTATGGTGGAAAATAACTATTTGGTCAATAACAAAAGTTTCTCAATACTTTGTTATATACCCTTTGTTGGCAATGACACAGGTCAAACGTTTTCTGTAAGTCTTCACAAGGTTTCCACACACTGTTGCTGGTATTTTGGCCCATTCCTCCATGCAGATCTCCTCTAGAGCAGTGATGTTTTGGGGCTGTCGCTGGGCAACACAGACTTTCAACTCCCTCCAAAGATTTTCTATGGGGTTGAGATCTGGAGACTGGCTAGGCCACTCCAGGACCTTGAAATGCTTCTTACGAAGCCACGCCTTCGTTGCCCGGGCGGTGTGTTTGGGATCATTGTCATGCTGAAAGACCCAGCCACGTTTCATCTTCAATGCCCTTGCTGATGGAAGGAGGTTTTCACTCAAAATCTCACGATACATGGCCCCATTCATTCTTTCCTTTACACGGATCAGTCGTCCTGGTCCCTTTGCAGAAAAGCAGCCCCAAAGCATGATGTTTCCACCCCCATGCTTCACATTAGGTATGGTGTTCTTTGGATGCAACTCAGCATTCTTTGTCCTCCAAACACGATGAGTTGAGTTTTTACCAAAAAGTTATATTTTGGTTTCATCTGACCATATGACATTCTCCCAATCCTCTTCTGGATCATCCAAATGCACTCTAGCAAACTTCAGACGGGCCTGGACATGTACTGGCTTAAGCAGGGGGACACGTCTGGCACTGCAGGATTTGAGTCCCTGGCGGCGTAGTGTGTTACTGATGGTAGGCTTTGTTACTTTGGTCCCAGCTCTCTGCAGGTCATTCACTAGGTCCCCCCGTGTGGTTCTGGGATTTTTGCTCACTGTTCTTGTGATCATTTTGACCCCACAGGGTGAGATCTTGCGTGGAGCCCCAGATCGAGGGAGATTATCAGTGGTCTTGTATGTCTTCCATTTCCTAATAATTGCTCCCACAGTTGATTTCTTCAAACCAAGCTGCTTACCTATTGCAGATTCAGTCTTCCCAGCCTGGGGAAGGTCTACAATTTTGTTTCTGGTGTCCTTTGACAGCTCTTTGGTCTTGGCCATAGTGGAGCTTGGAGTGTGACTGTTTGAGGTTGTGGACAGGTGTCTTTTATACTGATAACAAGTTCAAACAGGTGCCATTAATACAGGTAACGAGTGGAGGACAGAGGAGCCTCTTAAAGAAGAAGTTACAGGTCTGTGAGAGCCAGAAATCTTGCTTGTTTGTAGGTGACCAAATACTTATTTTCCACCATAATTTGCAAATAAATTCATAAAAAATCCTACAGTGTGATTTTCTGGAGAAAAAAAATCTCAATTTGTCTGTCATAGTTGACGTGTACCTATGATGAAAATTACAGGCCTCTCATCTTTTTAAGTGGGAGAACTTGCGCAATTGGTGGCTGACTAAATACTTTTTTCCCCCACTGTATTCTAAGGTTTGTATCATTCACAACTAAACTTGGCAAATAACTCTAAATAACGTATAGGACCTGTTTCAAATTATCACTTTTACGCTCAACATAGCCACTTCATATGCACACTCGATCCAGAATGGGAAAAATATACTTTCTATTTTATTCAGCTAAGTTCAATTATATTATTCTCACTATAAAATTATATAATATAAAATAATGGCACAGGATTTATAAGCATATCTTGTCAGCTAAATGAAAAAGCCTACAGCCTATGGCATGGAGCATAGCCAGATAACATACAGTAGGCCAACTCATATTCTGTTCTTCTGAAATACACTGAACAAAAATATAAACGCAACGTAAAAGTGTTGGTCCGATGTTTCATGAGCTGAAATAAAAGATCCCTGAAATTGTCCATACGCACAAAATCTTATCTCTCAAATTTTGTGCACAAATTTGTTTATCACTGTTAGTGAGCATTTCTTTTTTGCCAAGATAATCCATCCACCTGAAAGGTGTGGGATATCAAGAAGCTGATTAAACAGCATGGTCATTACTCAGGTGCACCTTGTGCTGGGGACAATAAAAGGCCACTCTAAAATGTGCAGTTTTGTCACACAACACAATGCCACACATTTTTCAAGTTTTGAGGGAGCTTGCAATTGGCATGCTGAATGCAGGAATGTCCACCAGAGCTGTTGCCTGATAATTTAATGTTCATTTCTCTACCATAAGCCGCCTCCAACGTAGTTTTAGAGAATTTGGCAGTACGTCCATCCGGCCTCAAAACCACAGATCACATGTAAGCAGGCCAGCCCAGGACCTCCACATCCGGCTTCTTCACCTGTGGGATTGTCTGAGAAAGTGGGTTTGTGGGTTTGCACAAGTGGGTTTTGCACAACCGAAAAATGTCTGTACAAACTGTCAGAAACCGTCTCGGGGAAGCTCATCTGTGTGCTCGTTGTCCTCACCAGGGTCTTGATCTGACTGCAGTTTTGCGTCGTAACCAACTTCACTGGGCAAATGCTCACCTTCGATGGCCGCTGGCACGCTGGAGAAGTGTGCTCCTCACGAATGAATCCCAGTTTCAACTGTACTGGGCAGATGGCAGACAAGCGCGTATGGCGTTGTGTGGGCGAGCGGTTTGCTGATGTCAACGTTGTGAACAGAGTGTCCCGTGGTGGTGGGGTTATGGTATGGGCAAGCATAAGCTACGGACAACGAACACAATTGCGTTTGATGGCAATTTGAATGCACAGAGCTACCGTAACGAGATCCTGAGGCCCATTGTCGTGCCATTGATCCGCCGCCATCACCTCATGTTTCAGCATGATAATGCACGGCCCCATGTCGCAAGGATCTGTACACAATTCCTGGAAGCTGAAAATGTCCCAGTTCTTCCATGGCCTGCATACTCACCAGACGTCACCTATTAGGCATGTTTGGGATGCTCTGGATCGACGTGTACGAAAACGTGTTCCAGGTCCCGCCAATATCCAGCAACTTCGCACAGCCATTGAAGAGGAGTGGGACAGCATTTCCACAGGCCAGAATCAACAGGCAAATGTAGCATATTTGGGATGCTCTGGATCGACGTGTACGACAGCCTGATCAACTCTGTGCGAAGGACATGTGTCGCGCTGCATGAGGCAAATGGTGGTCATACCAGATACTGACTGGTTTTCTGATCCACACCCCTACCTTTTTTTTAAGGTATCTGTGACCAACAGATACATATCTGTATTCTATTGTTATAGCTTCATTCTTACATCATCTACCTCTCTCTCCCCTTTTCTCTCTCTTATTGCCTGTCTTTCTCACTATCTCTCTTTTTCTATTTTATCTCTCCCTCTATCATCCAGGAGGAGTTGGTAAGATATCTATTGATTCCCATGTGCACGCTCATATCCACACTGTCCTCTCTTTTCACATGCACGCCCAGGGCCGGATTAAGAAATCACAGGACCCGGGGCTTTGGTTTTTGTGTTGTGACAATGTAGGGGTGGTTATAGAAGATAGCCTTGTTTGGTAAAAGACCAAGTCCATATTATGGCAAGAACCGCTCAAATAAGCAAAGAGAAACGACAGTCCATCATTACTTTAAGACATGAAGGTCAGTCAATCCGGAACATTTCAAGAACTTTGAAAGTTTCTTCAAGTGCAGTCGCAAAAACCATCAATCGCTATGATGAAACTGGCTATCATGAGGACCGCTACAGGAAAGGAAGACCCAGAGTTACCTCTGCTGCAGAGGATAAGTTCATTAGAGTTACCAGCCTCATAAATTGCAGCCCAAATAAATGATTCACAGAGTTCAAGTAACAGACACATCTCAACATGAACTGTTCAGAGGGGACTGTGTGAATCAGGCCTTCATGGTCAAATTGCTGCAAAGAAACCACTACTAAAGGACACCAATAAGAAGAAGAGACTTGCTTGTGCCAAGAAACATGAGCAATGGACATTAGACCGGTGGAAATCTGTCCTTTGGTCTGATGAGTCAGAATTTGAGATTTTTGGTTCCAACCGCCGTGTCTTTGTGAGACGCAGAGAAGGTCAACGGATAATCTCTACATGTGTGTTTCCCACCGTGAAGCATGGAGGAGGAGGAGGTGTGGGGGTGCTTTGCTGGTGACACTGTCTGTGATTTATTTAGAATTCAAGGCGCACTTAACTAGCATGGCTACCACAGCATTCTGCAGCGATACGACATCCCATCTGGTTTGGGCTTACATTTACATTTTAGTCATTTAGCAGACGCTCTTATCCAGATCAACTTATAGTTAGTGATTGCATACATTTTCATACTGGCCCCCCGTGGGAAACGAATCCACAACCCTAGCGTTGCAAGTGCCATGCTCTACCAACTGAGCTACAGGGCTTAGTGGGACTATCATTTGTTTTTCAACAGGACAATGACCCAACACACCTCCAGGCTGTGTAAGGGCTATTTGACCAAGAAGGAGAGTGATGTAGTGCTGCGTCAGATAACCTGGCCTTCACAATCCCCCGACCTCAACCAAATTGAAATGGTTTGGGATGAGTCGGACGGCAGAGTGAAGGAAAAGCAGCCAACAAGTGCTCAGCATATGTGGGAACTCCTTCAAGACTGTTGGAAAAGCATTCCAGGTGAAGTTGGTTGAGAGAATGCCAAGAGTGTGCAAAGCTGTCATCAAGGCAAAGGGTGGCTATTTGAAGAATCTCAAATATAAACACTTTTTTGGTTGCTACATGATTCCATATGTGTTATTTCATAGTTTTGTTGTCTTCACTATTATTCTACAATGTAGAAAATAGTAAAAAATAAAGAAATACCCTTGAATGAGTAGGTGTGTCCAAACTTTTGACTGGTACTGGACAGTATATTCCTTAATAAGTTTTTTATACATTTTTTGCTGCCTCTTGGGTCCCCACGGGCCTGGGCCCAGGGGCTTCAGCCCCGGTAAGCCCCTGCATTAAGCCGGCCCTGTGCACGCCCCTCTCTCCTCTAGCTCACCTGTTTTGCTCTACCTGTGCCGTTTGACAGAGGCAGACTGGGGAGTATTGGAGCTGTGTTTCCCCTTAAACTGATGACCCATAACCTCTAACCCCTGACCTCTCACTCCTCAACTCCTGTTCCCAGAACCCTAACCCCTCTGTTAGTGACCTTTCCTGACTGCATCCTGACTGAATCCTAATTGTTCCTCACTCACACTGAGGAAGGAGTTAGCTGCTGAAAAATTGATGTGTTAAATGTTGTGCCAATAAAATGTTACCCGTAAATCCAAAGCAACTGTGAGTGCTGACCTTTTTATAATATCCTCTACTGACCTTTGACCACCAGGACCTGACGGCTCTAGCCAAGGAGCTGAGGGAACTGCGTCAGGGGGATGAGCCCAATCGCCCGCCCATCAAGGTGACGGACTACTCCTCGTCCAGTGACGAGTCACAGAGTGACGAGGATGTAGAGGAGGGAGAGGGAGGAAGTAATGACGGCTCTGTGTCTGTCAGCGACATCCCACGCATCATGTGAGTATGTGTGTGTGTATGTTAGAAAGTGTGTGTGTCTGCATTTTAGCTATGCATTTATTTTATTTTATTGTAGTTTTGTATTTTAAATCTGCAATATGTAACTTTTTGGGAACCTGAACAAATTCACATAGAAATGTGAGTTATAGTTCTGTAATTCCATTGAAAGCAAGTCTAAGAAGCGGTAGATCTGTTCTACAGTATGTGCGCTATTTGCGTCTTTTACTTTCGGTTTTGTACACCAGCTTCAAAAAGCTGAAAATACAAAATGTTTGGTTATGGAAAATACAATTCTGTGGTTTAGATGGTACAAATGATTCTCTACACTATACTTGCTTGTTTTGTCATATAAACTGAAATTACTATTAGAATTTTAGCAACCAGGAAATGGCAGAGCGATTTCTTCATAGGGCATCTTTAAGTATTTTTAACTTGTGTGTGTGTGTGTGTCAGGCCGGCTGCGGGGCAGAGTAGCGGTGAGGCGTACGGTGTAATGGGAGGACATAATGATTCCTACGGCAACAGTTCACAAGACAGCACCCTGATGATGAGAGAGGTCAGTCACCTTTCACTTTTAACCCCTGACCACTGGGCTCCACTCTGCTTCCTTTATACACAACTCAGCATCCTGGCATGCACTCGGCTCTGCGTGTGTCTGTGTCTGTCTGTCTGGTATGAGTCTCTGCATTGTCACTCCTCTGGGTTCACCCACCTTCCACATCAGGGGCAGAACATACCCCTTAACCACAGATCCAGATGAACCTCCTAAACCCTAAACCTAACCTTAACCATTAGATTCCAACCTTAACCTTACCTTAACCACAAATCTAGAATCATCTTATCCTTCCCAAATCCTACCCATCACAAGGAAATACATTAATCTGACCTTAGATAAGTGTGTAGAGTGGCCCTTACTCTCCCTCTGTTCCAGACCTATGGGGACAAGAGGTGGAGCTCCGCTCTCGCCGACAGCAACGGTTTCCCCGGAAACGCCAATCTGCCCGATCTGGTGCAGCAAAGCCCCTCCCCCATGGTCTCCCCTGGCGATGGCTCTGGGCGCAGCCACCCCAAAGTAGGTTCACTAGACCCCTACACCCTAACTGCTTACGCCCTTGCACCCTACACCCCTACATGCTAGCCCTGTACACACAACCTCCCTACTCCCTAGCCCTTATCCAGCAGATCCGACCCGCTTGCTTACAGCTGCACTAGGGTTGGACAGGCTTCCTGTGTAGAGTAAGACACCATGGAGCTGGTGTGAGATATGGCTCGGACAAAGTCCCTCAATCCAGGGATGAGAAATGCGTTGTACTCCGAACTGTCCCATTATCCCAACTATGGCTGACCCCATTTAGTCAACTGGTCGATTATTTGGTCGATAGGCTGTTGGTCCACCGAGATGTCTTTAGTCGAGCAGTAGCAAAAGAATTAATAATATCATGGTGTACAAGACACCTGTCTGATTTGCAAAGAGTGGACTGATCCATGGTGGAGGCCGTGGGGATGGCACAGTCCATCACTCCAAGACATGTACTACTGAAATTGTGTATGGTTATATTACATAAACAATGGTGCAACACTAATACAAATAATATTATTTTATAACAAATGTGCTTTCTCCCTCGTTGGGTAGCGGTCGCTGTCCACGGTTCTGAAACACATCAGTGCGATGTTGAATTGGCGCCTTTTCCTAGACCTTGTTGCTATGTGCATAACAGCAAAGTTAACCAGTATATTGGTGTTGAGAACAATGCCGGAGGCAGCAGCAGAATGAGGAGATGAGAAAACAGCCCTTGCCTTATTGTCTAAGAAAAGTGAGGAGAGGAAACCCCAACTTAATTAGGTCTATAATCAACAGCCTAACTGTTAAATGTGCCTGGCTTTATAAATCATCAATATATCTACAGAAATAAGACAGATCCTGCTTCTGTTGCCTGTTTGAGTGTTTGTTTAATAGCCTACTGGTTCGGTGAGCACCAAGCTTCACACAACGACATGTCAAGTAAACCATTTCACAAATTCGGCTGATAAATAAAGGCTTTACACTTTGTTTTCGTTAGAACAGCCTCTCTGATATTATTTATAATTTATTTAGTGTTTACACTGTTCCAAATGTTCTTGATCTCCTCCTTGTTATTATTATTATTATTATTAAAGTAATGTCATTATCATTAGTAGGCTTAGTATAGCAGCCTTGTATAACCACCATTGAGCTCTAGGCCTATGAGCACATCCTGTTTAGTCTTAATACCGTAACTTACTTAGGTCTAAATTTCAATACTTCTATAGGCTACTGTATCAATCAATCATTCATTTGTTCATGTCATCACACAGCATACGAGTCATTCATGATTTGAAATTGTCACGATCGTTGAGAGACGGGTCGGACCCAGGTGCAGCGTGAAAAGCGTACATGTTTATTAACTCAATAAACAAACCACAAAACAAGAAACAACGTAACGTGAAGTCCTCAGGCTATACACATACAAGCCTAAACGAAACAAGATCCCACAACTAAGGTAGGCAATCAGGCTGCCTAAGTATGATCCCCAATCAGAGACAACGACAGCTGTCTCTGATTGGGAATCACACCCGGCCAAACATAGAAATACAACCTAGATCTACCACATAGAAATACACTAACATAGATTTCAACAGAAAACTCACACCCTGACCCAACCAACGAGAGTTCACTCGATCAGGGCGTGACAGTACCCCCCCCCAAAGGTGCGTACTCCGGCCGCACCAACCTGACTCATTAGGGGAGGGTCCGGGTGGGCCTTCGTCCTCGAGGCGGATCCGGCTCCGGGCGTGACGACTTCTCCCTCTCTGCCTCCCCGTTGAGCCGCTGACCGGAGCTGGACTAGGCACCGGTGGAGTGGACTGCTCTGCTCTGACTCCGGAGTGGAGTAGCTGACCGGTGCTGGACCAGGCACCGGTGGAACGGGCACGGGCCGAGCCGGACTGGGGACACGCACCACTGGTCTGGTACGAGGAGCAGGAATGGGTCGGGCCGGACTGGAGACATGCACCACAGGTCTGGTGCGGAGAGCAGGTACGAGGCTTACCGGGCTGGCGACACGCACCACTGGTTTGGTGCGGGGAGCAGGTACGGGCCGTACTGGTCTGGAGACACGCACCACTGGTTTGGTGCGGGGAGCAGGCACGGGCCGTACTGGTCTGGAGACACGCACCACTGGTTTGGTGCGGTGAGCAGGTACGGGCCGTACCGGACTGGGAACACGCACATTTACATTTTAGTCATTTAGCAGACGCTCTTATCCAGAGCGACTTACAGTTAGTGCATACATTATTTTTATATTTTTCATACTGGCCCCCCATGGGAATCGAACCCACAAACCTGGCGTTGTAAACGCCATGCTCTACCAACTGAGCTCCCGGTACGGTGTACCGGGCTGGCGACACGCACCACTGGTTTGGTGCGAAGCGCAGGCACGGGCCCTACCAGGCTGGAGACATGCACCACTGGTTTGGTGCGAGGAGCAGGCACGGGCCGTGCCGGACTGGATACACACACCACTGGTTTGGTGCGAGGAGCAGGCACAGGCCGTGCCGGACTGGAGACATGCACCACTGGCTTGGTGCGAGGAGCAGGCACGGGCCGTGCCGGACTGGATACAGGCACCACTGGTTTGGTGCGGGGAGCAGGCACGGGCCGTGCCGGACTGCATACGCGCACCACTGGTTTGGTGCGAGGAGCTGGCACAACCCGTCCTGGCCGGATGCCCACTTTCGCACGGCACGTGCAGGGCGCTGGCACAGGACACACTGGGCTGTGAACGCGCACTGGCGACACAGTGCGTAGGTGCGTAGGACTGGCACAGGATATACTGGACCATGGAGGCGCACTGGAGACCAGGAGTGTTGAGCCGACACAACCCGTCCTGGCTGGATGCCCACTTTCGCACGACACATGCGGCGCGCTGGCACAGGACGCACTGGGCTGTGAATGTGCACTGGTGACACAGTGCGTATCTCCGCATACCTAGGTTCCTCAATGAACACACTCCTTCTGTTGCCTGACCAGCTCCTCTCTCCGTGCCTCCACTACTTCCTTCTCCCGTTGCGCCTCCTGTAGCGCCTCCCTCTGAACGGATAACTCCTGCTCCCTCTGAGCTAACAGCCCCTGTAACGGGGTGGCCTCCTCTCTCAGACTGCTCCAGTCCTTCTCTCTCTCTCGCCAATTCTCCTCTAGTGAGGACTCCTCCGGGAGCCCCCGCGAGTTAGGGAACAGAACCTCATCGTCGTCGTCATCCTCCGACTCCTCCGTATAAAACTGTTCCTGTTCCCATGGTCGTAGGGACTCCAACTGGAACCCCACCGGGTGCAGTGGTCGGGGCTCTACTCCCTCGATTCCCGACCACCCTTCTAGCCCCCCCAAAAAATGTTTTATTGGGGTTGCCTCTGTGGCTTCCTCAGCGGTTGGTCCCGTTGGCGTCGTCGTTGATCCTCTCCTACCCGGGCTTCCTCCTTCGCCCAGGATCCTTTATTGGCTACACTCTCCTTCATCGCCTTCCGATAACAGACGGCCACGCTGCTTGGTCCTTTTGTGGTAGGATCTTCTGTCACGATCGTTGAGAGACGGGTCGGACCAAGGTGCAGCGTGAAAAGGGTACATGTTTATTAACTCAAACAAACCACGAAACAACGTCACGTGAAGTCCTCAGGCTATACATATACAAGCCTAAACGGAACAAGATCCCACAACTAAGGTAGGCAACCAGGCTACCTAAGTATGATCCCCAATCAGAGACAACGAGCGACAGCTGTCTCTGATTGGGAATCACACCCGGCCATACATAGAAATACAACCTAGATCTACCACATAGAAATACACTAACATAGATTTCAACAGAAAACTCACACCCTGACCCAACCAACGAGAGTTCTCTCGATCAGGAAGTGACAGAAATGCAATCAAGCATTTTAGTTTTCAAATAAAATAAAGCGAGCCTTGAATAATTAGCTTAAACAATAAATAAACCGTGCCATTTTGGAAATTGCATTCACGAATGAATACGACTATTTAGTCTTTACTGTAATAAAGGCTTGACAAAAAAAAACGTTACAACAGACTCTCTGGTACGCTTATACTTTATTTAATATTGTTTACATTGTTCCAAACGGTCAGAAAATATATTTTTGTTATTATAACTCCAGAGAACGCGTTTCCACTGCTCCAGTGTCCAATGGCGGCGAGCTTTACACCATTCCAGCCGACGCTTGGCATTGCGCATGGTTATTTTATTTGTCCACATACTTTTGTTTATATCAAATCAAATTTATTGGTCACATACACATGGTTAGCAGATGTTATTGTGAGTGTAGCGAAATGCTTGTGCTTCTAGTTCCGACAGTGCAGCAATATCTAGCAAGTAATATCTAACAGTTCCACAACAAATAGCTAATACACAAATCTAAGTAAAGGAATATATACATATATGTAATCTATACAGCACCTGTTTGGCACACATAATATGCATGCATCGCTTGCTCCTTACCTTATTTTTCTTGATCTCCAGTATTTTCCACAACTAGTCACATTTATTCCACACATCTGACATTCCCTTTACCTCCTGAGCAACCTGTAAATATTCCCCCGTTTCAAGGTTATTTGTCACATCCTCTGCATCCATTTTGCTGTCACGTGTTACGGTGTTCAGAGTTTGTTATAACCAATTTACTGATGTGATTCTGATATGCTATAGGCACGGCCTGCCCGCTCATTAGGCAGGATTAGGCGGCCTCCTATGGCGGCATTTTCTGAGTTAAACTGACCAAGAAGCACGTCCAACAACAACACATAAAACCTCACGTAATTCTGCCCAAAAACAATGACAATTTCTCTCAACCAGTGGCATATGGGCTTTGTAGGTGAGCGCTGATGCCACCCTTTGATAAGCAGTGGCCACTTTGTCAAAGGCAGGGGCGCAAAATATTTTGCTTGTCCATTCTTAGCGCTTCTCTCCAGGGTGCTGTTGGAGAGACGCATTTCTGCAGTGCTCCACCAACGTTCAGTCCAAATAATTATCTAACATAAATCATGTAGCA